CAGCCCTGCGCGGCCTCTGGCTTCCTTTCCGGCAGAAGTTAGGGACTTGCGTGGTCAGTCCCAGCTCCAAGTGGGACGTTTGGTGCGTCCTGTTGCCGCAGAAATCTGTCTGCCAGCCTTTCTTCTCTGGGACTGTCTAATACCTAATTTTAGTTGGCAAGTTAAGGCTGTTTCATGTATTCTTTCAGGACTCATGTTCAACACGGGGATTGGGCAGCACATTTTGAAAAATCCTCTCATCGTTAACAGCATTATCGATAAGGTGGGTGTGGAAAAGGAAAGGGAGCGAGTTATTGGGTAGTTATTATCAGGAATGTTTAAGAGCAGAGAGGATGCATGGCACGAAAGAGATGATCTTTAAAGACTTGTTGAGTGAACGGAGAATTTTCTAGTTTTCACAAGCTGTCTTTGCCATGATTTGCTTCATTCTATGGGTCTGGGTTTCTACTGGCTCCAAATTATTTTTCTTTCTGTAGATTATTTACTTCATAGCTGGACATTTGTTCAATTCCAGTTTAGTATTATTTCCCAGTCACTTTTTCTAGGCACCATCCATAACTGTTAGTTTTTATTTACTCTAGAGCCTAAGGATATGTCTAAACAGACATCTTTGGAAATTTGTTCCCCAGAGAAACTTAATGTGGTACAACACAGCGCCACATATAAACTCCTCGGAGTATTCCTCCTATATGGGTTATTGATGTTCTCTGTTGTTATAGATGATTGGGGGTGCTAGGACATGAGATATAGGAGGTGCAAATTACTCTTATGGCTACAAAGGAAGCATCCTGGAGCAGTAGAAAGAGAATTACATAATTAAAGGATCTCATCTTGACTTCCTGTTACTTGCAAAATGAGGGCTGGCCTAGCTTTTAACATTTTGGGCTCATGGATTCCTTTGAGCATCTGATAATAGCTGTGGGCCCAGAATACTGCAGATATGTACATAGAAACACCCACTATTGTGTACAGTTTCTATGTGCTCCTGCATCCCTGAAAACATACATGGGTTGAGAATTGAAAAATCCTGGTACAGCACACTGTGATTCTCAGGCTAGGTTGTTACATTATATACAGCCCTTTCCAGTTTGAACTTATTGATAATAGAATTGGTAACAAGATGCTATTGAAATCATTTTCAAGGTTGAAAGCAAAATGCCAATCCCAGAAAGAACTGCTATTCTGCTTTTCTGATTCCTATTGCCCCAAGTTAGGAGAGGTGTCAGATTTCCACTTGCACCAAATGTTAGATAATTTTGTTAAGCATATAGATCATGAAGGAATTCCTGAAAATAGAGTAAGAATAAAATCTCTTAACTGAGTGCTTCTGAGCAAAGATACTCAGGTGTAAGTTAAATTATGTGGTCAGATGTGCCAGTAAAGCTAAAGTGGTTGTGTCTACTCGCAGGCTGCCTTAAGACCAACTGATGTGGTGCTGGAAGTTGGGCCTGGAACTGGCAATATGACTGTTAAGTTGCTAGAAAAGGCAAAAAAGGTAAGGATTTCATGTTTGGTATCAGAAGTGACTATGTGAGTAAGCTCAGGTGGTTTACAAGTACAAACTTATTTTAATTAATTGCTATTATTTTAATAGTAACCTTTGATCCTATGCTAGAAACTTTATCTTAGAAAATATGAGTGAAAATATGGTCAAGGTGGTCAAAAGGTACAAACTTCCAGTTATGAAATAATTCCTGGGGATGTAATGGACAGCATAGTGACTGTAGTTAGCAATACTGTACCATGTATTTGAAAGTTGCTAAGAGAGTAGATCTTAAAAGTTCTCATAAAACAAAAAAAATTTGTGTGTGGTGATGGATATTAACTAGACTTATCTTGGAATATATACATGTTATCATTATGTTGTACACCTGAAACTAATATAATGTTATATGTCAAGTATATCTTAATTTTTAAAAATGGATTAAAAGAAAAATTTTTAAAAATTGAAATTAGATATTTCAATACAGGGAAATTAGTATAGGGAATTGGTTGCATGGTTGTTACGGCACTAAAAGAATAAAATGAGAACATTGAGGTAACCCAAGAAATAATAATTGCAAAGAGCAGCTATCACCTCCACACTAAGGGAAGCAAAGTAAGGAGATTGGAGTTATTAGAACCTAGTACTTTGGAGGAGGAGATCTGAAGAGCTGGAGCCTGAGTTGGGGTACCACCTGACCGCTGCTGGTACCTTCTTTGTCTCTTAGCTGACCCAGCTTCCAATTAAAAGGAACCATTGTTGTGTCCTCTGGTGGAGGTAGGTAGCACATTTTAAAGTATTGATTTGAAAAGAGTTTAATGAAAAAACTATTTACAAAATGTGGGAATGGGGTTAAGGGAACCAGAGTAAGTATTAGTGAAAGACCCAGGGACTAGCAACAGCAGGTAACAGTTACCATTCAAAGAACTCAGGGAGTGCCCAGCTGGTGTGCTCAGTGGTTGAGCATCAACCCATGAACCGAGAGGTCACTGGATTGATTCATTGCAGGCTCCATCCCCATGGATGTGTCTATCCCTCTCCCTTCCTCTCTAAAATAAATAAAAACATATTTTTTTAAAAAAGGACTCAAGGCAAGAGGAGAGAACTGTGTTACTGAGCCACTGAACAGGGACTGCTGGTAGTGGAACACAGCCACTGCCAGAGCACCTGTAAGGCATGGGTAGGCATTAGGAAATACTCAACCTCTGTCCTTGTGCCCTATAATGCTGGTTCCTTTCGTTGGCTAATCCCAACCAGAAGTCAAGGGCAAGGGAACAAGACTGTATCACTCTGCAGGGCACAGGGAAAGGTGGAGAAAGGAATGGAAAGCTAAACAGACCTTAAGCAGCACATATATCTGCTCTGTAGACATGGTCTTCCTAGAGGCCATTAAACCTCAGCTCATACCGAATTAAATTACAATTTCAGCCTTACCTGGTATCCCTTTTCATTTACTTCAGAAATTACGTACGCTGTGTACTCTGAACTTCGTAGATGAGAGAAATGATGTACTCATTCTAGGAACAGTTGTCTGTATGCTTCTGTCTAGAACATTTACTACATAGACCTTTTGTGTATTTTCTTCAACTTCTGTTCAGTTACAAAGCATGGAGCCAGATGAACATGTTAATTCTGTCAATTATGCAGATAGAACTAACTGACCATTTTCTGGGTCGTGTTTTCTGTTGTTTGAAATGGAGAAAATGGAAGGAATATGGATGGTAGAAGTGGGAAAAGGAAGTTGAGTTCATGTAAATCATGTAAGAGTTACTGTTGAGATAAGAAAAGCCTTATACTCCATAATTATGCCCCCCAACTATTTTTTAATTTAGGTAATTGCATGTGAACTTGACCCAAGGCTAGTAGCTGAACTGCACAAAAGAGTTCAGGGCACGTGAGTATCCATGATAGAATTAAAGTGCATTTCAATCTGAAACAATATTCTTTTTTAATTGTTTTTTTCTTATTATCAGACCCCTGGCCAGCAAACTTCAAGTAATGGTGGGTGATGTGTTGAAAACAGATTTGCCATTCTTTGATGCTTGTGTGGCAAATTTGCCTTATCAGGTATGCTTTCAAATTGTCAGGAGCATTATACTAAACGTTTTTCTGGTGTGTCTTTCTCAGAAATAACTAGTTAATTCTCTTACAGATCTCTTCTCCTTTTGTCTTCAAGCTGTTGCTGCACCGACCTTTTTTCAGGTTTGTGACAAACACCAGAGTGACTGCCAAATATTAGAAAGATGTACAGTTGAGCCATGAACACAGACAGCCAAAGATGAAAAGTTAATTCAGTTGAAAAACGACTGGGCAATTTGTTTAGTAGAAAATAACAGTTTTTGTGGAGGTCTTTCTTTCTCTCTTTCTTTAATTGACAGTTATTGGGGGAGGTGTGGTGTAAGCCCTGCTTCTGAGATCAGACGACTTTTCCCTAGTTTCTCATCCTCTTGCCATTAGCTCAGGTTAGACTTTTTATTACTTTTTATCTACACAATTGCAGTCACCTAAGGTGTCTCTAATACAGTCTTTACCAATCATCTTCAAACTGCAAGTCAAAAACCCTTTAGTGGTTATAGAATAAATTCATTGGGTCATGACTATCATTTTTTTTTAATGACATGAAATAGAATATATCAGGATATTAAATGCAGGTAGCCCAGGTGATTATAGTTTTACAAATCTTTTGTTTGAGTTATATAAGCACATATATACATAGATATTTGTGGCCTGGGTTGCATTGTCAAATGTATTTCTTAGTGTGATTTACAGTCAAAAAAGTTTGGAAGTTGAAACCCAGCTTTGAAGATTATCATCTTCTGTTCAGGAGCCTCCAAAAGCCTTCCCATTGCATGCCGAATAATAATTTAAAAAAATTCTACATTTCTTAACTGTTAAATCAGAAGGACACTGATTTCACAACCTGCCTCAGCTCTTCCATAGACTGTTTGCTACCCCATGAATATAATTTGTCTACTGAGTCAATTTTGTTTGGGTTTTGTTTTCCTAGAAGGGGTGATATAGACTAGCGCTGATCTGAAATCCTTTCTCATCTGATCATTGAGGTCTTACATTGGCAAGGGGTGAAAGGTGCAGCCATAAAATGGAAAGGCCAACTGGATCATTTTGTGGTAGTAATGCTAAGCCTGAGTGTTCTCCTACCTTCTAACCAGCTGGACTAATTATTATGAACTGCCAATATTGCTTTGCTCTGTTTCCCACCCAAGAAAATCTGTTGATGTTCAGATACATTTATAGGTGAAAGTGGCCATTTTCCTTACTCCTTTCCATTGTCTTTTCAGATGTGCTATACTTATGTTTCAAAGAGAATTTGCTCTCCGACTAGTTGCAAAACCTGGAGATAAGTTATACTGCAGGCTCTCAATTAATACACAGCTGTTAGCACGCGTGGACCATCTAATGAAAGTAAGTTACTATTGAACTAATGTGACTTAACTTATCCTTGAGCATCTAGCTGTGCCTTCTGAGATGAAAGCATATTTGATTACTAATTTAATTATTTTTGAGAGGACTACTTAAACATTTTCTGATTAACAGGTTGGAAAGAATAACTTCAGACCACCGCCCAAGGTGGAATCCAGTGTTGTAAGAATAGAACCTAAGAACCCGCCACCACCAATCAATTTTCAGGTGAGGTTAAAATACTAGGTCATTCAATAAAGGGAGAAAATGTCCAAGCTGGAAGATGTGTGTCTGTAAAAGCAGAAAATACTGAGTCAACCTAAATGTCCTAAGAGGAAAATGTTAATTATGATACATCCCTGTGATGGAGTAGATGGAATAATTTGACTCAAGATAGTTATGAAGACCACAAAAGTGCATGGAAAATGTTTGCAAAAGGTAAAAAAATTAGAATGCTATTGCATTTTGCTGAAGATTATAGCTATGAAAACATGTCTCTGTTTGAATAAGACTTGGAAAATAAGGTAAAGTGAACATAGTTGTTAGAGTAATATTATGGAAAACACTTTTTAATCAAAATTCTTATTTTTGCTATTTCAAAAGAGAAAGAAACCAAATCATTTGATGTAAAACCTTACTTCCATCACTTTGGGTAAAAACACGATTGCTTGTGTGTGTCAGTAACTGGTGGTTAAGTGGAGTGATTGTCAGTTACTCCTTCAAAGGAGGTTTAGGTGCGTTGCACAGGATACATTCTAAATCATGTTTGTTTTGAATCATATTTTTTGAAAATGACATGCTAGATGTTGCTTTGGAAGCCAAAATGCCATATTGTTTTTTGTTCAGATGTGGAATAATTATGTATTTTTCCTAATTTTTGGAATTGAGGTTAAAATACTCAGTGAGGTGTATAAAAGTTTAAAAAAGTATACATCTTTCTTTTGCATATATGTCAGTCACATCAAGATATAGAACATTTCCATCACTCCAGAAGGTTCCTTCCAGTTTTATGTATTAGGAGACACAATAATACCTAACAGGCGTAGAAAAGAAGTTTGATATTTTGTAAGAAAATATCCATCTTCTGTTTCAGGAATGGGATGGCCTAGTAAGGATCACCTTTGTTAGGAAAAACAAGACACTGTCTGCTGCATTTAAGTAAGTATTATACTAATTTATAATGTATGAAGGACCAGTGTTCCAGATACTGGGCTAACTGCCAGTATCTGGTTCTTTTTCTGAACAGCTATCCTACATTCAGACACACACTTCACCTTTTTAACTGACTTTGTACTTTGGGAGGCAGGAGAATTTAATGAAGAAAGTTCCTGGAGTTGGGAATTAGATAAGGTTTTTTGGCAAAACGGGAAAAAAATCAAAACCTGACCACACATCTGCCTAGTTTTTCCTTGGAAAAACAGTGATGATGCAGCCACCCCGTCCACATTTATGTAAGATTCATTTAATTTTATTAACTTGGAAAAATGTAACATTTTGGGGCCTAAGGGTAAAAGAGGTGAAAGCCTTATTTTAAGATTTTTTTCTGAGGCGATGTTTTGTGGAGAGTCTAGAATGTCCTTAAGAATTTGAGATATTTATTAGACTTTACTTTTTAAATATAACTATGTAGTTTGTGGTTGTTTCATAAGTCAATGCTTTTTTTAGTTTCTTAATTTCACCATATGTAACAGATTTATCTTACAATAAACTGAAAGGAAATTATTGATAATCTCTAATTTTGGAATAATAATACCTATGTCATTTATGTACAGGTCAAGCGCAGTACAGCAGCTATTGGAAAAAAACTACAGAATTCACTGTTCAGTCCATAATACTGTAAGCAGAAAATGTTTGTGATTTCAGTGATTTGTTGTGTTTTAAAATATCCCTCTATTTCTTATTCCTTTTCATGTCATTAAGATTGTTTAATTTTGTACATTCCATAAGATCCTTAAAATTGACTATATGCAATGGATAACTAGCACAACTTTAACAGGTCAGTGCTGATGTATATTCTGTAGAACAGATCTGAGCAAACCTCAGTTATTCCACTCTTGTCTTCTTAACTACTGATAGTTTTAGCCAGAGATTGATTCACCTGAGTCATAATTTCCTCAAAGGTGTAGGTATGTGCAGCTTGCTCAGCTTAAAATAATTGTGACCATCCCTTCTTGTCTGTTGCTCATATAGCAATTATAAGTTTAAATTAAAAAATTGTCAGTTGTCTTAATATCCAGAAATTGATTATAGACTGAATAGCAGATTTCTGGTTGTGAGCCTCACTCATCTGTGCAACATTTTCTTTAACCAGTTTTGACTGTGAGCACACATACACATCCATATGTAATGACTGTGTGATAACTTACTAGTTCTTTCAAATTAAATAGAGCAAACAGATAAAAGCAAATTTCCTTTCTATTTTTCGACTCAGGTCTTACATGGTTTAATGTACCACATTGCTACCTCCATTTTCTTTTATGGACAAAGTCATTAAACATTGCTTAAGTAGGGAAATGTTAAACTGGATTAAGAAAAATCTTTGGATGGAAAATGTGAAGTATGATATATTTAATAATATTCCTTAAGGGTTGGAGAGGCCATCTCTTACCCAAGAAAAATTAAGCTGGAAAAATGAGATTGGTGTTCCAAAAAAGTTATTTTTAAAGGAGTAAGTTGCTTTAAAATTTAGTTTACAGCTCTAGTTATGTTGTTAGGAATACTTTGTGAAGCCTGAAACTGATAAAATTTTAAAGAGGGCAGTATACTTGATTAACTCATTTAAGGTCTTCTGAGTATTTGGTATGTGCTAAAGATCAGTCACTTAGAGATTCAAGTCATGGACAGATGTTAACTATTTTATGACTTACTGAACTGAAAAGAAAGAGAGTCAAGGTGACTTCATTGAAGATAACGTTGTTCATTTATTCTGAATCTTGATAGATAATACCAGAAGATTTCAGCATAGCAGATAAAATACAGCAAATCCTAACCAGTACAGGTTTTAGTGACAAGCGGGCCCGTTCCATGGACATAGATGACTTCATCAGGTAATTACATTTTTCTTTTCCTAAGTGTTTACATTTCTCTACTGTGACACCTTCGGATTAGAGATTTAAAGGCTTTTAAGCGGTGTAAGGTGCTACCTGGGAGTTATTGCATAGCACTTCCAAGGCATAGAATAGTATTTGGTGTAGAAGATGGAGGCTAGTTAGCTGCAGCAGAATGAACCTTTTCTTTAAGGACAGTAGTGTATAACAGTCCTAGCCTGGAGATGGATTCTGTGTCAGTGTGGGCCATGGTGTGTGCGCTCCTCCCCTCCGACCTCCTCCCCTAACTCCCATTCATTGTCTGTTGTAGGCAGAAGAATCATAAGACATGTAGTTAGATCTCACTTTTTTCTTTATTGGGAATAGCTATTGTTAAATAGACTCAAAGCATGAAATAGTTTGAGTTACAATCATATCTGATTATCATTTCTAACTGGCTTAGTAATATGTAATATAGTTACTTGTTTTTTAATTATCTGGGCAATTTGTTTTCCTTGAATTATAAAAGTCTCATGAAAACAGAGTAAGGCTTCATGAAGTTACCCAGGTAATTATTAATCTGTACTCACTGCTTTTAATCACTAACACTTTGATTTCCTAATAAGCCACCTACTGCAGAAGTTTATGCCTCTTTAGCGAATTCATTTTTAAAGTTTCCATGTTCTAGGGGCTGAAAAAAAATTAGGGTTGGTTGTTACAAAACTAAGACAAACAAAATAGGGTTTATATTTTGTATTGGCAGGTTAGTAATACTATTAAATCTTCAGTCAGTGTTAACCCTAGGAGTTGAATATTATTCCTAAGTACCTAGCTCCTTTTTTAGACATTTTAACTCATCTCGACCTCTTCGTACGAGCCATCCTAAAAATAATCTCAGATCTGAATAGAAATATTTCATCCTGCTTTCTTTCATTCTCACCAAATTTCTTCAAGGTTATTAAGCATATCTAGTTTGCTAAGATCTGATTTAAGTACATAGGTACCCAGAGAAAAGCAATGTATAAATATTTCATTTGAACCTTGGTAACAGTGAGTTCAGAGAGGAAGAATGGACATACATGTAGGATTGGCTGTTCATGTCTTCTTGTTCACTTACCATGTTGAAACAATTCCTAATGAGCTATTAGGTCTAGGATAGAAGCTTTCTAAAATAATTTTAGTCAAATTCATAACTTAAGACATTTAGACTATGACAAAAAGAAGTACCAAAAATATGTGGTTTTAACCAGTATGTTATAAATTTAGTTAATGAGTGTTAGGAGTGGGTGGGCTTCATAGGTTTGCTGATGTGTTCATGTTTTAGATTTCATGGTATGGGAACTATATGCATGGTTTGTTATGTGCTACAGATTAGCTTTGCAATACCATCTCATTTTGGTTTCTTTTTTTTCAGATTGTTACATGGATTCAATGCAGAAGGTATCCATTTTTCTTAGGTATCTGGGAAACGGAATTTTTCAAACTCAAGAAACTGGAATTATATATTTTTAATAATTTGAGAGGATGAAGTATCCTTTTTCTCCACTGGGACACTGTGCTTGATTGCTTTTGATTTAATGCTATTGTTATCAGTTATTAGTCTGAATTTCTAAGGTAGTTAAGAAAACCAATTTAAGTTCTCAAGTTTTTTTGGTTTGTTTTTAATATCTAACACAGGGCAGAGTCCAATATCTATATAATCTTCAAGAGCCGCAGACACGCACAACTTTACCCTTATCATTTCTAACAGGTTATGTATCAAGATGTGACTCTTCTATTTTCTGTTGTATATTACTATGAAGACCTCTAGGCCTTCAGCTCTTTAGGGCTTTGTCCCTCAGGTGTAAAGTTAAAATATGCTTAACCAAGTCACATATTCCCCATACCATTTCTTCTTCTTATTCATGCGTACAGTAAAACAATTTTCTTACATTTTAACTTTGTTTCTCTTTCTGTTTATCCTACACAACTTTTATCACTGCCTGCCTACCCTTTTCTTATCCTGTAGCATCATAGTTACAGCAGGGTTCTGGGTAAGCTTGAGTCTGCTACTGCGACCATGTGGTACCAGACATACTACTACTGGGCATGATTCCTTACCTGGAAAATGAGGACTAGTATGAAAAATGAGTAAGATTGTTTGTTTTTTCTTGGGGAGATGGTCATAGGTTTAACAAAATTTCCAAAGGTTTCAGAAATTAAAACTTGATTTAAAATCTCTGCCCATCAACTTCAAAACAAACAACCTCAACCAGTAATTTTCCCGAGAACAGGCTCCCAGTATTCCTATAGCTTCTGGATAATTAAAATTTCCAGTACTTTTTCATATACCCGATGCTTAGTTGTAGGCTATTTTTAAAATGTAAGGTTGAGAATTTCAATGTCATAACCACAGCTTTATTAGCTACTATGTTTAAATCATTATCAATATATAATTGTTACTGTCTTTTAATAAAGTATTATAGATAATAGCTGGTTATTTTATTTATATAAGGAAATAAAAATATCTTCGTTCTTTATGCCTAACAGAAAAAGTGTTTCCAAATTATTTTAACAAAGGTACACTGAGTAAACCTAGAAGGGAAGTTAATTTGTTTATCTTTGAAATATGGCTTTAAAATGCTATTAAAATGTTCCTATAAAATGAAAATAATGTATGTTCTTTACTACTTATTAACAGGGATATCAGTGTTCAAGTCTGAGAAAGTAATGTTTGTTTAATTGAGATCCAAAAATTATTTTTTAAATAGCGGATCAAGCCACTTTTGTTATATAAATATTATACTTAAGAGTAGGTTTTTAAAATATCACAAAACTTACTTTGCAAAATTCACTTGTACTATTTCTATTCTTACAGGAACATTTTAAGATTTATTCAGCTTTTTCTTTACCCCCTAGTAACTGCTGAATTTTAGTCCCTTTTCTGGCCTTTTGATTTCTGTATCTGTAAAACTGAAGTACTGGATTATAGTACCAAGGTCTTTTCCGGTATACTGATTTTTTTATGTACCTTGATTCCTGATCAGAATGAAGCTGTTATAGGATAAAGCAGCACATTTAGATATAAGGAGTCCTTCTAGAGATACTACTCATCTATTATAAATAATAAATTAAGACGGATCTGTTGTGCTTCACAATAAGCAAACTCAAATCTTTTTATTGCCCTTTAAAGGTTGGTTAGGCTCAAAAACTACTGTATTAGCCTCTGAAAGGTCAATAGTTCTCAACTGTTCCTCTTCTCTTTGAAATAAACACAAATAGAACATATCTTATAGGTGAAAGAAAACCTGAGTCCCTTCCAAAACAAAGGTGATTACATGGAAGAAAATTATCTCTAAATTCATTCCATAGATTCCATTTATTTTAATAAGCACACTGTGAAAATCTACATTTGTTCTAAATTTCAAGTTTACAGAGGAGCATGTCACCATGGTGTTAGGATTTCCCACAACTACCCTCTGAGTTCTATGAAGTAGGGAATCTGGCTCATGTGACTCTATTCATAGCTTCCCTGTGGCCCATATGAGTGAGCAATTTGTTCCCTGGAGTGAAACAAAACAAGATACTCTTGGGAGATGTTCTTGTTGTTAATCCATTTCTGGACTCTCCTAGGAACTGAGGGAAACCTCCTAGAGAGAGATATAAATTGTTTAACAAAATATTTACATGAAAAGTGGCCAGTTTTCTTCCTTGGAGTAGCAATCTGTAAAAATAAGTGCTACCATTTAAAAAGTAGCACACCCTAGACCAATTTATTGGTGAGAATTTGGTGATTCTCACCAAATAATGGTGAAACATCACACTTTAGTAATGGACGGAGCTTGAGTTACATCTGCCTTTTAAGGCAAAGTCAATGCTTTTTTAGCTTAATTCTATTTCAAGGTGTTATGTACTGTCTATACTTGGCTTAAACTAACAGTTCTATTACGGACTACTTTCAATGTATTATGTAAATGTTCATGCATCAGAAGCCAATTTCCTTTAACAGTACATTTAAAAAGTACATTTTGGGGTGCTAATTGGACACTTCAACTTAAACAATGGTATTGGTAAGGAGCAAATTGCACTATTAGTCTTGTTAATAACACTGGAACACACTGCATATATATGTATTATCCTAAGATAAAACTCTTCTCAGAATTCCATTACTTTTTATTATACACCAACTAGTTTATATTTTCTTTACAAAGAAAATGCTAAGAAAATTATATCCACATGTTAAATGTTTTAAAATCATAATTCCAGATTTTTTTACATAAGATGGAGTGGTCCAGCAGCTATGTCCACTGTCACAGACTTTAGTTCCATTCAATGATATGGCACATCCTGCAAAATTAACTAGCAACACACAAAAAATGTCTCAAATACAATAAAAATATACACACAATAACGGTAATTTACAATGACAAATAAGGAATGTAATTTAACTTGGCTGTGCATCAAAAATTCAGGGTCAATAGCCTTAGTCAAGGCACAAAGCAGGAAGAGGTGAACACAGCTGTCTCTAGGAGTGGCAAGGTATGTACAATCACAGATGAGGTATGCATGCACGCAAAGGATTTAAAACTGCTCAGTCTTGCTACAAAAATTGAACGAAGTTAAAAGGAAATGCTGTGGCTTCCCCCTACTACTCACCCCTGGATCAAATCCACAATCTTACTTCATCATATAGAAAATAAAATTGGCAAGGATCTCCAAAAGTAAATCACTATTTGGGTAAATGAAACAAAATGCTTCACTATTCCCAAATCTTGGTTGTGCCTCCTGGACTAGAAGCATTTTGTAGACAAAATTGTGTTTCACAAAATTGAAATGTCATTCAGGTGAAGGGACAAGACATTTTCCACAGACACTTAAAATTTCAAACTTTCAAATGGCCCTTACAGCTGAACCTTGTATGTTACAACAGCGAGGGTTCTGGGGATCCTTTAGCAGCAAATGCCAATTTAAAGGGCACGGGGTCTCTTCGGGTTGATTTGCTTGCTGGCCTGTTCTTCTTCTTGTAGAGCTGCACGAAAAGATTTCACTTTATCTTGGAAAAAGAAAAGAACAGGGAATAAGTACTACATTACATGCAATACAGTATACAACATTATGGGGCCTATCAAGTCAGCTCTCTCATTTCACAACCTGAACTCAAGATTTTTCCTTTTGTTTTTTGTTATCCAAAAACTCCGAACTAAATACAATGCTCAACTATATCAACAGTTTCATTATAGAATCCTAAAAATACCTGCTTTTTTCCTATTGTCAACAGGTTTCTGTTTGGCATATTGTACAGTGCTCAATTTCAATTTAATTTGCATTCCTTCTGGAGTGTAGACAGGCTATTGTAAAATATGTACAATCATGTCCAAAAGGAACACTATGAATATTATTAAACTTTAAAATAGACATTTCCATTTCTTCTCTCAATGTTAGAAAATTTTTACTCCCAATGACTATTTTATCTTTTTAAGCTATGAATTTTAAAAAGATTTGAATTTTAAAAAAGAAAATCATTTTTCCTTATCAGGGATTGTAAAAGGGACTAGGGAAGGGGGATTACAGGATAATGCAATTCTTGGTCTTAAAACTGTCCTATCATGTAATGATAATCATTTAAGAATAAAAATAGGTTAAGTAAATTGGCAGAGGCAAACAACAGTCAGCTATAAAGACAGGAAATCTTCCTATAATTGATTCTCAACTGGGATGATTTTAGCCCCCACATCCTCCATTCTGGGGACATTTGATAATGTGTACAGACATTTTTGATTGTGACAACTGGAGTGGTGCTACTGTCATCTAATCAGTGGAGACCAGGATTGGTGGTAAGCCCTGTGCAATGTACAGGACAGCATCCCTAAACAGAATTATCCAACTTAAAATGTGTTAATAGTGCAAAAGTAACGGTCGTCAGAAGAAAGCTGTAAGTTTCTTTCCCTTCAGAAGTACAAGGATGTTTTTAAAAAGTTGACTTTTCTAAAATCTAGAAAGGAACTTAAGGACTTCTGGATCTGGTGGCTGCTAATATAATAGCTCTCAAACTTCTTATATTAATACCCAAATTATGTCTGGGTGGTAGAACATTTCAAAGAAAAAATTGAATACAATAACTAGATAGTAATTTTTTAAAAGTTACAGATATGCTTGATATATAAGAATTCTGAGAGAATTAATGAAGGGAAGTCAGCTAAGTTAAATGCTACATATTAAAAAAATTCAAGCCTAACCAGTGTGGCTAAGTGGTTGAGCATTGACCCATGAATCCGGAGATCACAGTTCGATTCACGGTCAGGGCACGTGCCCAGGTTTCAGGTTTAATCCTCAGTAGGGGGCGTGCAGGAGGCAGCCAATCAATGACTCTCATCATTGATGTTTCTCTCCCTTCCTATCTCTGAAATCAATACATATTTTTTAAAAAGTTCAAATGCATTATGTTCTTTTTTCTGAATAAAATGCATACAGTAAAGTTGCTTGTGAGTTATGGCAGATTAGAAAAATGATCAAAACACTTTAAATCAAGGCTTCAATATGATGAAAAAAGTAAATTTTAGAAACCCTACATTTGCACAAACAATTCTGAATTTGGTCAAACAGTCACTTCTAACTCCATAGGATATGATATCAAAAAACCAACTTCACAAAGGACCTAGTGTAAAAAATTAAGCAGCTTATTTGGTGCTAAAAACCAACAATTTCAATCTTGTTTTATTTGCACTGCATGTACACACACACATGCCCACTCGCATATAAATGGAGACAGCTAATTTGCCAATGTCTTAAAATTAGCACATACAATAAATGAAGCTGCAGATAAAGCTAATTAAAAAGCCAAGCAGACATGACGTGTGAGTAAGCCACATAGTTCTTGAAATCTTCCTCTTCTTCAAAACAAGTATTCAGGGGGGAAACATAATGTAAGATGCACAGAAAGGAGATGTAGATTGGCAGCTATAGAAAGATGACCCTGAATAGATCTAATCCAAGGAAAATCATTCTGAAAAGTGTCGGCCTACCAAACTAAAAACCAGGTATATAAAATTTACAGATTTCTTAAAAAGCATTTTCCCTCTCATATTTTCTCAAAAGACAAAGAAAAAAGACTAGAGAGCACTTGAAATGATGCTCCTTGTTTCTTTTTAAAAAAAACAGACCGGTTGGTATGCCTATATACCTCTAAAAGATGTTAAATGTTGCCCATGATTTTCACTTCAGATGTCCTCTTGCAACATGAAATCCTCCCACTAAATACATACAAATGTTAAGCATATTTCAAACACTAAAATGAAAAAAGAATTACCCCGCAGCTCAGTTAAAATGTCTATTTTTTGCTCAAGAATAGCTTCAAGTTGCGTAGCGTATGAATCTACATCATAGTCTACTTCTTCAGTCATCTCTAGGAGAGCCTTTTCATCTTCTAACCATCGAATAGATTCCTAAAAGGGCAAAAATTCAATTAATCCAGTAAGCCTCTAAGACAGAAACC